GGGGATCACTGCTCCCCTTCCTAAGGGAATTCTTCAAAACCCCCTGCATGTTGATCTGCTCCAGAATTTTGCTGGGTGTCACTGTCATTCTCAGTTCCCTAAAGTCTATGTATTCTGTCATCTTTCTTTAAAATCAGGGTAGGTGAATCTGAGACCCTACATACTCTCCCTAAGTCCATTCGATTCCTAAGTGATCTGCCAGCCTCCTGTCTTGCTCCTCTGAAGCCCAGGTTCCGCCCTGCAGAAAGAGTGATCATTCTGAAATGCAAATACAATCACATCACTCCCTTTTTAAAAAAACCTTCAATGGCTCCCCATTATTGACAAGACAAAGCCAAAGTCCGAAGCTCTCATGTAGGGTTTTCACCTAACACGTCTTGCCAGCACCTCTGGACTCAGTTCCAGACTCCAGCAAAAACAAAACATCTTCCTTTAGGGACCTGACCTTAACCCCCAAACCCTCATTCCCAGGCTACTCTTCTACTCACCCACCCATCTCCTGCACCTCATTCTACTGAATCATGTATTTCATAATAGTAATATATTTCTTTTCCTATGTGTCAGAGGCTTCTCGAGGCATTTTGTGTGTACTAACTCACTGATTCTCATAGCAACCCTATGTTACAGGCACTATCATCATCCCCATTTTACAGATGAGGAAAGGGAGGCAGAGAAGTGGAGCCACAGGCCCTGACCGGGGACCATGACCTTAGCCGTCACGCCCTGCTGCCCCTCCCACCCTCTCCTGCACGGTCCAGTCAGGGCCATGCCTGAGCACCCTGCCATCCCAGAGCCCAGCCAGTGCCTGCAAAGAACGGAAGCTCAGCCCAGGCTGTTGGACAAAACAGAACCGAGAGCTGTGCCCAGGTACCGCAGACATTGTGTCCATGCTGTGGGCCTGGCCCCCATCTCTGTTTCTCTCTACAAATTTTAACGATCTTTCTGCTCACTGGAGAAGATAGAAGCAAAATGCAAGTGAAGGTCTGCTTTCTCTGCCATCTGTGACTATCACTCCATCTGCCTGGAAGCAAGGAGCTTATATCTCTTCTATTTCTCATCTGTTTGAATCTTGCCAATGATGGGGGACTCATTCCTCCTTCTGAAGCCCTTTCAGCTTTCTGCCCTGGTAAATGGGTGTGATAACACCTGCCTCAGAAACTATCATGTGGTTGGAAACACGTTGCTAGTCACAAAAATGACATATTCCATGATTCCATTTATAGGAACTGTTCAGACTAGGCTGATCTAGAGGCAGAAAGTAGACTGAAGTTGCCTGGGGCTGGAGGAATAAAAGGTATGGAGGGGGATAGCTAAAGGGTACTACTATGTGTCTTTAGGGTGGTAAAAATATTCTAAAATTGGGGTGAAGGTTGTACTTACCCGTGAATAAACTACAAACCATGATTTGTGCACTTTCAATGGGTGAATATCTCAATAGAGCTATTAAAAGAATTGCAGGGACACACCAACACGGGGCTAGTTATACCTGCAGCTGGGACAGAAGCTCAGGGAAACAAGGGGTGTCTTGGGGAGGCTATGTCTGTGGAAGAGTGAGACCATTAAATTAAGAAGAGCATGGATTCTGAGGCAGGAAAGCAAAGGGATCCCCAGACCGGTGTTCAGCCCACCGTCATCCTCCCGTAGTGTCTTGCGAGTCCTGACTGCACTATAACCCACTGTGGGCTCCTGACTACAGGCACTTTTGGTCCTGTAGCCTTCCTCCCCCTCCTGTGCCCCCTCCTCTGCTCTTTGCCACCATCCCCCATAGCACCGACACTTCCTCACTCATGCACTGGGACCCATCTCTTTCAGCACCCTTTACTATCTCACACATGGGGACAGCCTGTTTCCAAAACCCATCACCATGCTCCTGACCTTTATCTCTACAGTTTGCACGGCCACCAGCCCTGGACTGATCTCACATAAGCAGCTCAAGGCTGCCCCTTAACTTCCAGTCCCCTAAGGGACAATGAGCAGCTGGTTTGCACGGATGGCACGCTGAACACAGATGTAATACATCATATACATGGGCGTGCCTCATGTTAAGAAAAAGCACTACATAAAAATCTGATCTCATAAAAGGAGTAAATGTGGGGGTGATTATGCAGACACACAAGAAAAGAATTGCTGTGACAAATCACTGGGACAATGCTGTAATGTACCTGCATTCCAGACACACTCAATAAGCGTAGCTATTATTCTCATCACCATCATTCCCATAATTTTGTGCTAATAACACTTCTCTGGGTTTGAGACACGGCAGAAACAAGAAAAAGCTCTGCTTTTACCACTGCAGTCTTTGACGAGACTAGAAGCAGAACAGAGACAGGCTCCTGGGAATGAAAAGGATGAAATAGCTATTCACTGGGTTTTGTGTTTCTACACACATTAGGCTGGCGTGAATCATCCAGGCTGGTTATTTCTTCTGGAAGAAATCAATCTCTTTACTTAGCAAATAGAAGAGATGGGTTAACAATTCATCGTTTCTACCAGATTTTTAAAATAAGTCAGTAGTTTTTGTTTAAAAGGAAGTCTTCATTTTCTACTACCCAGTAGGCAGAACAGGATGTTTCTTACTCAAAGAAATGCCTCACAGCCTATATCAGACCCAAAAACTTCCTCTGAAAAACCCCAGTGCCCGGGATTCCACAGGCTGGCTCTGTATCAGAACCCAACTTCCCAGACTGTCAGAAGCCAGGTCAGAGCTAAATCAAACCTGTCTTTCCAGCTATGATTCCAGGGAAAACCTCAGTCCGGGCTGCAGCTGAAGGCCCTGCCCTTGGCACGATGGCCTCCCAACATTCTTTCAGGACAATTAACCTCTTGCTTCTCTGATGAGTTGCAGCTTACTTACAGGGATGGACAGCGCTTTGCAAACTGCATTCACTTGGCATCTCCCAGCTCCTCTCTGGAGGTGGCCAGGATTGTCATTTTACTGATGAGGAACCAGGACTCCAAAGGGTGAAGTTAACAAAGCTGAGACATCCAGCCAAGCCCCCAGGACCAGCACCATTTCCATTACCCACACACCTCATTTGAATGGTTATGCTATGGGGAAAATTGCTGAGTGCCTAAACAGCCACCGTTTATTGAACAGCTACTATGTGCTCTCACTAGTGTCTCATTTATTCTATCACCACTTGGTATCTAACAGAAATCCCAAATGTAACATGTACACCAAAGAAAACCGTTCTGCATCTCCACCCCAACTCCCCTTCTGTCCCCCCAGTCTTGGGAAATGGCACCACCATTCACCCACTGACTCCAGCCCCAGTGCTTGGAGTCTTCCTGGAAGGGGGGAGAGTGAGGAAGAGCAGGGGAGGGCGGGAAGGAGGAAGGAGGGGACAAAGCAAGGATCCCTCTGCTACAGGAAAGCATGGGGCGGAAGCCTCTGTAAGTCAGTATCCTTAAAATAACGCTTGGTGTCCATTTTTGTTTGTGCTTGTGACGGCATGGGTTCTGCTGCCCTTCAGAAAGCCACAAAACCATGAACCTCCTTAAAACAGCCATTTTCAGAGCAGGCATTTGGGCTGCCCTGGAGTTGTGTCCAGTTTTTCCAAAGGCAAGATGAATGGGGCACAGTCCCTGGACCTAAGAAACCTAAAATCTCATCGGATGATAAGGCTCATACCCAACTAGTCAGAATACAATCCAGAAACTGGTAAGGACCAAAAGAGCTGTACGCGGACAGCTGCGGTAGCCCCCGGGAGTGAGGAGCCGCTCCTGCCAGGTGCGTGGAGGTGGCGCTGGGGCCTGACCTTTGAAGGGAATGTGGGTGGGAAGGAGAAGTAATGTGTGCTGGGTGCCCCCACAACCCCTCCCTCCTGCAGCCTCCACACCGTATTGAGCAGTCAATGGACCACCCCAGTGTGGAGTCCATTGGCACACATGCTAAAAACGGTGTGTGATGGGGGGCAGACTATATAATTTGCTCAAGGTCATGCAAGGAAAGTGAAAGCCACACTCTAAGGGAAATTTAAATTCAGGCCTGACATGAGAATTCAGACAGAGACGGGCGATGTGTCTGAGCGCCTGGAGTGAAATGCATGGCCTTATCCGTGAGGGCTCCTCAGGCAGCGGCTTTCTCCTCAGCCAGGCTCCTGTCCGCCTCCTCCTTCTGCCCCGCATCGTACCCATCTCCCATTCATGAATGGGAGCTCCTGGATGAGGGCAGGGCCCCAATCCTGATGTTTCAGTCAATATGTTGTGAGTCCCTAGCAAGTGCCTCTATCCTCTACTGCCCCAGCGTTGATCCAGTCATGCATCCCTTCAGCCCATCATTTTCTTACCACCTGCTCTATGCCAGGCCCTGAGGTGGCTTAGGGCTAAGACGTGAGCATCATAGAGCGACCCCAGTGTGCTGGAGGGGACAGACGTGTCGACAAGAACAGCGTCCACCTAGGGCTCAGTGGGGGGTGGAGGAGTGCAGCCAGGGGTGGGGGAGCCAGAAAAGCCTCACCAGGGAGGGTGTGGTGAGGCGTGAGCCTGTCTTGTAAAGGGGGGAAGGTGGGAGGCATTCCAGGAGGAGGGAACAGAACATGCAAAGCCATGGAAACATGAAATCTTGTGATGGGAGTTCATAGCCTTAGAGGCTGTCGCAGAATAAGGGCAGAGGAGGGTTACCACTGAAGAGGCCACCTGGGGCCAGATCTTAGACGGCCTCGAATGCCCGGGCAGGGAGAGTGGCCTCCATCATGGGGTCAGCAGCACCACTGCAGGGCTTTAGGCCAAGGAAAGGCAGGAACAGTTCTGTTTCACTGTGGCCAGTGGTGGAGTGCAAGTCAAGAGCCTGAAGGCGGAGAGAACAGCCTCCTGCAAAACCCAGGCTTAACAGAGATGGCAAAGAGGAAGGGTAGGACAGGAGACCCAGAAAAGACGCCCCGGAAGACGGGGGCAGGAAAGACTGACGGGAAGGAGTCACGGGGCGGGAAGGGCGCAGGGCTGCAGCTGGCGGGCGAGCAGGCCGGGCCCCCCGCACGCGCCCGCCGCTCGGGACTCACCGCGGAGCCAGCGCGCGCCTGCGTGCGTGTCCTTGAGGCGGGGGAGGCGGCGGCGCGCGGCGCCGCGGCCCACGTACCACAGCATCCAGAGCAGCTGCAGCAGCATGAGCGCGGTGAGGAAGCAGAGCAGGCCGCCCTTGCCCACGCCCGAGGCGTGCACGGCCCAGGCCAGGAGGAGCAGCAGCCCCGCCACGAACACGTTCAGCCCGTACTGGCTGCTCAGCGCCTCGGCCAGCTTCTGGGGGACGCCGGCGCAGACGGCGCCCCGCCGAGGGGCCGGGGACACGGGGGACTCGGAGGGCGCCAGAGCTGAGCGCCGGGGCGCCGGGCCGACCGCGGGCCCCGACCACCCCCTGTCCGGGGCGCTCGGAGCCGCCGGGGGAGAGGCGGGCGCGCCCTGGCCCTCCGGCATCACTGAGCCGCCCGCACGTCTAGTCCCGGGAGCGGCTGCAGCCCTGGCCCCGCCTGCGGTCCCTGGCCGCTGCCCCAGGCCTGATGCTCCCTGCCAATCAGCACCCCTCTCCTGATCACACCCCGAAGCCCGCCCTCTCCCCTACTGCCCTCGCGCAGGGTCCCCACCCGCTAGCCCGGGCTGGCCCGGCTTCCTCGGCTCCCCGGTGCGCACTGCCCACTCCCCTTAACTCCGCAGTGCCGAGGGCACTGGCGCCTGGGGCCCCGGCCAGCCCTGCCCGATGTCCGCCCGTCCCCTCGCTCTCCCTGCCGTGCGCCCCGGACCCCGCCAGCTTCAGCAGCCCTGTCCCCTCGCGCTGCCGCCCGCTGACCCCGCCCCGCCCGGGCGCCCCAGAAGCCCTGGCTGGCGGCAGGTGCCTCTGGCGAGCTCCCAAGGTGGGAGTGAGGACGAGCAGTCGCTCTGAGTCAGCCCGAGGGCATGGGCGCGTGGGGCTCGCAGGGGCGGGCACCGGCGCGGGCTGCTGTGCATCGCCGAGGTCAGGTGAACCCGTAAGGGTCCGTGGGCGCGAGTCTGCCTGCCCGCCCTCCTCGTCCCTGCGTGTTTCTGCCGTGTTTTCTCTGCTCAGGTCTCTGACCGTCTGTCTTCGGGTTTGTCTGGTTGGTGAGGGGCGCGGGTGAAGTGCGTCCAGTGCTTGTCCCTAGATCTATGAATAGAGGTGCCTGTGTCTTTTTGCGTCTCTGTCCGTCTAGTGTACCTGTGTGTCTGCCTAGAGATGCTCAGATGCGTTCAAGGCAGGAGGCACTTCCCAAGAAAAGAGATCATTGCTCTCCCTCCACCAGGGAAAGGAGAGCTGCTTCTGAACCCAGCTGAGCTGGGGGTTGGGGTGCCCAGCGTCCTCCCTGGAACTGCCGGCGTGGAGCACCTCCCTTAGCGGTCCATCCTGCCCAAAGTGTCTGCCACTGTGCCCCGCACAAATGCCACCACGATGAGGTCTCCCCGGAGGTTTCTTCTAAAACGCGCCCTAAGGGCAAGCTGGCCGAAGGTTCGGCGGGCAGCAGGGCGCTGGGGAGGACCTGTGGACAAGAGCCTCAGAGACGGCAGGCCTGCCGAATGGGCAAGCCACCCGTGCAGGAACACGGGCGCTGCTCAGGAGGCACCCTCTCCCCCTTGGTTTAACCCGCTGCTGTTGCCATCCTGAAATTCTTACCTTTGGAACAAAGGGACCCACATTTTCACTTTGCAGTGGATCCAGCAAATTACGTAGCTGCTTCTGACCACCAGAGAGTCCTGGCTAGGTGGGGGCAGGGGAGGCTGGACAGGGAGGGTCAACCTGCTGACCTTGCCTTGCCTTCTTTTTTGTCAATTCATTTGTTCATGTGGCCAACACTCATTTACCCAACGCTGGATCGTCTGCCAGGCTCTGTTCTAGGCACCGAGGATTCCCCCATGAAAGACCACCCTCACGGAGCCGACGTTCTGGAGGAGACACACTCAGTAGACAAGGATTTATTGAGAACCAACTGGGAAGCTGGGGAGCATCGACCCTGAGACAGCCCTGCCTTCTAGGAGCTCATGGCCTGCAGGGGACAGGGAGCAATCAGTCCCTGCCAGCTGCGGGGCCTGGAGGGGAGGGTTGGTGAGTCCTGAGTCTGCCAGAAAGGGTGAGAGGTTCATGGAGGAGGCAGCACCTGCCAGTCTTTCCACCAAGGAGCAGAATCCGGCCCAGTGACATAGGGCAGGGCAGGGAGGGAGTTCCAGAGACAAGGGGCAGCGCACGCACAGAAATGAGTGTGAAAAGGCAGGTGGTGACCAGGTAATGAATGCATCAGTACGAAGCTTAGAGTGTGCCCTTAGCTGGGTGTCCCCAGAGCAAAGCCAGGTGGATGCACAGTAAACAAACCAAGGAGTTTGCCAAGGCACACGCTGAGGGATGCTGCAGGGATGAGCCAGCCGGCATCCCTCATCAGATCAGTGAGGGCGTGGGGCTCAGCGTCGCATCTCCTCCCATCCTCCGCCTGTGCTATCTTCCCTTCCCTTGCTTAATGTTCCTCCTTAGCGCACATCATTACCTGGAACATGTGTACGTGTGGCCTGTCCCTCCCAGTAATGAGAGCTCTATGGCAGAGACGCTGTCTGTCTCGTCCACTGCTTCAGCACATGTAACAGTGGTGCCTGCGCACAGCAGATGCTCAATAAATATGTTGAATTGTGTACCTCCAAAAGATGAAGTTCTAACCCTTAGTGCCTGTGAATGTGACTTTATTTGGAAATGGTCTTTGCAGATGATCAAGTAGAGGTCATTAGGGTGGACCCCAACCTGATATGACTGTGTCCTTACAAAAAGGACAGATTTGCAGACCCATATATAGGGGAAATGATGTGAAGACACAGAAAGAATGCCATCTAAGCTGAGCACCTGAGACTGCCAGCACCCAAGGGAGAGGCTGGGAGGGATTCTCCCTCACAGCCCTGAAGGAACCAACCTTGGTCTTGGACTTCTAGTCTCAAGAATTGTGAGGTGATACATTTCTGTTGCTTAAGCCACCCAGTTTGTGGCCTTTTTATGGCAGCCCCAAGAAACTAAGACACACAACTTATTCAGCCTGCAGTCCCTGTGGGCTTGTCCACCTCTCCACCCCTATTTTCCCTATGTTATATTATTATTGACTTTCCAAGTCAATTATTATTGACTGTTATTATTGTCTTTCCAACTCTGAGCTCCCTAAAGACAAGAACTATATCCGATTCGCCTGCCCGCTAGCACCCAACATGTGTTTTTTTCATCTGTTGGGCAATGTGAACTAGGCAACCCCCATGTGCCATGTATGGGGCCAGGCCCGGGGACAAGGTGAAGCCCACATGTGTGGCAATGTGGATGGACCTACCAGGCATTATGCTATATGAAATAAGTCAGAGAGAAAAAGACATACCATGATTTAACTTATATGTGGAATCTAAAAAACAACAAATAGAAACAGACTCATAAGCAGAACAAGCTGGTGGTTGCCAGAGGGGAGGAGGTTGGAGGGAATGAATGAAATAGGTAAAGGGGATAGAGATGTACAAACTTCCAATTATAAAATAAGTCATGAGGATGAAAAGTACAATGCAGGCATACAGCCAATAAAATCGTCGTCACTTTTGTATGGAGACAAATGGTAACTACACTTACCATGGTGAACATTTCATAATATATATAATTATTGAATCACTATGTTGTATACCTGAAACTAATATAATATTGTATGTCAACTATACTTCAAATTTAAAAAAAAGCAGGGGGAAAACAGAGAGCCCACGGTCTGTGCCAAATGCCACGGGAACCTGGGGAAGCGAGTGAGTGAGCTTAGTGCTCTGCAGATGGCAGGAGCTGTGAAAGCCCCAGACTCACAGAAACCACTTCTACTTTTACTTCACTTTACAGTTTTAAAAAGCACATTCATATGCATTATCTCTTTTTCATAAATCAGCTCAAGTCAACATGGATTTGTAGGGAAAGGCAGTACCAAGTGTGCCCAGGTGAGTTCTCAAGCTGGGCTGCACGGTTTGATTCCTGGCTCTGCCACTTACAGCTGGGTGTCCCTGGAGAAGTTACTAAACCTCCCTGTGCCTCCACTTCTGCATCTGTAAAACGGGGCTCTTAATAGTACCATCTTATGAGTTTCTATGAGGCCAAAATGTGTGGTGACATAGGAAGCACATTAGAAAGTGCCTGCCAATATGATGTACAAGAGACACTATTATTCCCGGGGTGTCTGCTAGGTGTGTCAGACTCCAGGCTGAGGCCATGTGGTAGAGGTGGCCAGCCGTCCATCAAACATGTGCTCCCCTTCCGTGGCGTAGAGTTGTCACTGGGAAGTGGCTGCCCAGCCAGGGACTCTAATTCTCAGTGCTCCTTGTACCTAGGTGGGCCAGGTGACTAAGCTGTGGTCAGCAGAGCGCAGAAGGGATGTGCGCTCTCCCAGGCCCAGCCAATGAAAACCTCCTCCACGATCCTCTAGTTTCTCCGGGCACCTCCTACCAGCTGCCTGGTGACACCAGCACCCAAAGCAACCTCGGGAGCCTCATGGTGAAGACGGCAGCACCTGTCAGCCTGGGTGCCTCTAGTGAGCGGCGAGGCAGATTCTCCCCTGCAGAAGCTGGACCTTCCATGAGTGGAAATACACTTGCATTGCGCTGTTGTCACAATCATGAAATGTATGTTATAGTTGCCAGCAGTACATGTACTTGAATCGTCCACAAAGATAGAGCACGTATCTCCATCTGAAATGGACTAGGGCTCCCTTCCCTGGGAGACTTATATGCTTTTAAATAAGCAATGGAATGGAAACTTGCAGATATGAAAGAGACACACAGAAGTCTGTCCCCTTCCTCTCAAGACAATGCCAACATGAAGGAGTCACCTACACCGCTTTCTGTTTTCCGCTGAGGAAATGTTTTCAAAGGTCTGAGCCACACAGGATCTTCCATTTCTTATGACCGCTGCCAGCTCAGTGGTGGGCAGGCATGGGACATGAGGAATGGTAGACTCGGAGGGCAGCCAGATCCCTTGTTCCCGGCTCCCCTGGATCACACTGCCCTCACGCACATTCCACTGTGGAGCTGGTTGCGTGGGGCTGGAAATGCCTTGCCAGGCAACTGCTTTCCAGCAACGAGTCAGAGCTATGCAATAGGTGGTGAGACGTTCTGCCCTGCGGCATGAGCTCCCGAGCTCAGTGAGGACGAGGGACTCCAGAGGGCAGAGGCCAGCTGCCACAGATAGCACAGGCAGCACGAGCCACCGGACCCGAGCGCCAACTAGACAATTTTGCCCCCGTTATCTCTGGTGGCGGCTATAAAATCCCAGAGTTTCTAAGAATAAAAGAGGTGCAGGGTGTATTCATTTCCAACGGTGCCGTAACAAAGCCGCACCAACTGGGTGGCCCAAAACAGAAATTTGTCTCTCAGGTCTGGAGCCTGAAAGGTGGAAATCAAGGTGTCGGCAGCAACATGCTCTCCCGGAGGACCCAGGCGAGGAGGCTCCTTGCCTCTCCCAGCTTCCAGAGGCTGCCCACACCACTCGGCCCTCCTTGCTTCCTTGCAGCTGCCAACTCCCCCTGGACCCACTGTCACATGGCCATCCTTCCTCTGTGTCTGTGTGTCTCTTTTCTTCTCATAAGGACACCTGTCATGTTGGATCAAGGGCCCACCCTTCTCCAGTATGACTTCATCTTTAACTTCCATCACAATTACAACTGCAAAGGACTTATTTCCCTATAAGGTCATATTCACAGGCAAAAGGGTTAAGACTTCACCATATCTTTGGAGGGACACAATTCAACCCAAAACAGGCAGCCATCCAAAGCATTATTTGATCTATGTAAGTGGAAAATCTCTAGGTAAGTTAAACAGAGATATATCTTGAATCATTCCAAGAGAGTCAAAAACTCTCACTCAATTTGCAAACCTGAGCCAGTTCACGGACCTGGAGTCCTTGACTGAAAAGGGGGCCGGGCCTCCTTGAGAAAAGCCTGCAGTACTGCCACAGGTGTGCCGTGGACCTTCGTCCCCAGAAGGTATACAGCATAAAAAGTGGTGACCATTCCCTCGGACAAGGTAGTTACCAGGTCTTTTCCTCAACTTTTTCTTTTGAAGTGATGTTAGAGTTACAGAAAAGTTGCAGAGAGAGTATAAACATGCCTGTTTACCCTTCCCCGAGCTTCCCCCAGCACCCTCTAATATCTTATATACCATGGTAACTGTCAAAACTAAGACATTAACATCAACATAAAACTATTAATTAAACTACACTTTATTCTAACTTTGCTACTTTTTCTACTAATGTCATGTTTTTCCCTGTACAGATCCTTTGGAAAACACTACACATGGGCTCTGAGTGGGTGCTAGGTCCCAGGCACTGGTGGAGTCCATGGTCACTCCTTTCACTGTGAAATAAGTACTCTGGTCGGAAGCTGTGTTGGGTGAAATGTCATGAGAATATAACGCTGGCAGAAGCATTATAGGTCAGAAAGGCACATACATCTTCCGAATACATGTCTTATCCAGGAGGAACACTGCTCCACTCCCTCCATGATGGAAGGAATCCAATATAAGCAAATGTCCACCAGGCCAGTCTCCCCTGGGAAAGGGGCCGTGTCAGCAGCTCCATGTTGGTCTCTGCTGTTGGCAGCTGTTCTGTGCAAGCATAGTGAACTAACCAACTTGGCAGTATATAACATGGATCCTGTGGGTCAGGATATGCAGAGGACATAGCAGGCATTCTTTTTCTCTCGTCTAAATGTCTAAGGCCTTAGCCAGAAGACAAGCATAGCCGGTGGTGACTCAATGGCCAAGGCTGGAATCATCTGAAGGTTCCTTCACTCACATTTGGTGCCTGGAATAGGAGAACCCAACGGCTGGGCTCAGCTGGGACTCTTGACCAGAGCACCTCCCAGTGACCACTTCATGCAGCTGGAACCTCGCAGTCTTGCATCCAGGCTTCTAGAGGGAGAGTCCCAGGGGGAACATCTGGAGAGCAAGCACCCTAAGAGAGCTCACAGAAGCTGTATGGCCTTTACAACCTGGCCTTCAAAGCCATATAGCATGATTTCTGGCATAATCTACTGGTGAAAGCAGTCATGAGCGTCCAGATTCAAGGGAAAGGGATAAGAATCTCCCTCTCAATGGGAAAAGTCAAAAGATTCAGGGCCCTCTTTTCAAATCATCAAAGCAGGTCCTACACTCAGCACTAGAGTTAACTCCAAGGTCATCCGTGGAGAGGGGACATCTGTGTTGTTGAGTGCACGCAAGCCCCCATCCCCGCCACCATGTTCCTAAGACAGGGCCCACTGAGCAGGCACTGGGGTGGCCAGGCAGAGGCTGCGAAACCCCCCATGGGACCACAGGTGTGGATGGAAAATAGACAATACAACAGGACTGGATCTCAAAAGAAACTAAACCACCTGCACATGCAGCTTCCTCATGGTTTCTAACTCTGCTCAAGTTCAAGTCTTATAGTCATTTCTACCCAACAGCATACTGCTGTGCAGGCCCAGCCTGGTGACCTGGTGGACTGGAAGACATCCAGTTCATGCCATAGTTGGCGTTCAGTTTCTACCAGAGCCCAGGAGCAAGCACGTTGTTTCTCAAGAGGGAAATAATCTGCAGAAGAGGGTATGAATTCGCTCTGAAATCCTTGCGGTCTGTGCTGACTCTTCTACCGGTTCGTGACAAAGCCTCCGCACAACATCGCTGTTTGCCACGGACACTTCAAGTGTCATTGGCTTGGCTGGACTGTAAGACCCAAGTGGCAGAGCAGCTTACACCACAGCCTGGAAATGCTTCGGACACTTCTCCCGCTCCAATACCCCCTCAAAACTGGCAGCATTGTGGGCTCCTCAGTCAATAGGTGAAAGTAACACACTTAAGTGTGGCATGTGTTGTCTCCAACATCTACAAGTTCCCAAAAGTATTGTGCCTCTTTTTTAATGGGAGGTCGGTACAGGGGGTGGCATCTTGTCTTTCACCTTGGAGCGGTAGCTTAACATGTTCCAGACCACTGAGCCTTATTTCTATAGTTAACTCAAAATGCTAACAGCTGAAACTATCCCCAAGTTTGTATTAACAAAACCCACAATAAAGTTAGAAAAATATTTTATTTAAATGTTAAGGAAAAAATTATACACACTTAAAATGATTAAAAGTTGGTATGTTAAACAAATGCTAAAAAGCCAATAATTTACACATACAATCTAGAGTGATGAGAAAACATAGTTTCAATTGGTCCCCTCTCCTAACAAACTATTTTAAAGAGATACACAGTAACTGCTGAAGTTGGGCTAAAGGCACGTGACATTGTCGTCCCTTTATACACACACCCAGTCATCTTACACAATGAACTGCTATCCCTTAAATGGAAGCCTGAACAATTTATCTACACTATCGGGAGTACATTATGCATCTATAATGAAACTTCATTCAAATTTTTACACCAATACTTTCTCTAATAACTCAAATTAACAATGCAAATTAATTATTTCTATTTCAAATAGAGTATTTGGTTTGAATCTGAAAAATTATTTAATCACTTGACCTTAATATGCAAATAAAATGTAATTTATTCTGATTTTAACCATACTAATTGTTATAATTTTTCCAAGGAACCCACCCAACTTCACAGATGCAAAAACACATTGCAGCTTTTCCATTATGTCTGCCTTGCTTTCAGCTATAGCTGGATGTTGGATCATTCGTTTTAAATTGACATGCCCTTAAATCTGAAAGAAAAACCAGCATTAATGTCCCAAGTGAGACATTCTATCTTAAGTTGTTAAATTTCGTATTAAAAAGCACAGTTCAATCTACATGCCTACAACATTATCTGGATCTACATTACTGATCATAAACTCACGTCAGCAGGAAGCCAAAAGCTCCCAAACACATGTAAAAACCCAAAGCTTAACACCTTTAGACTTTCCTTCAGAACTCCAAAGGAAGAGCGCGCAGTCTCCTAGCCGAAATGCCAGTTTTCCTTAGCACCCCAATCATTTACTTAGCATGTTAACTTTTACTCCGGTCCTGTTTTCACACCTATAAACTGATGAATGGAGATTTCCTCCAAGTTCTGATGGAAGCGACATAAGGGGAAGGAGTCTCTCTCTTTCATCCCATCCCTAAGCACACAGACTGAGTACTCTCAACACAAACTTTTTGCTAAGTGGGTTATCTGATACTCAGCAAACAGACCCCCCTGTGTAAGGAGCAGGCCCAAGGATGCAGTGGTCTGTGGAGAGGCAGAAATTCTAAAATTAACATGGAAGGAAAAGATTGATGTGTCCCCCATCAAATTTATATGGGGCAGCCAGAGCAGTTAAGAAATGGCAGAATTTTTTTGGCCCAACTGGGTAAAATTATCAGTATTTCCCTTATTCTCATTCCTTAAGCATGATCTAGCCAAGTCATTTGATGGAAATGGACTGCAATAGAAAATGGTCTCATGTGTGAACTGACCTATACCAGAAGGTACAAATACTATCTTCATGAGATCTTTGAAGAGTGGGGTACCTTCTCTAAGATGTAGCCACGGAGAACTAAACTGTACCCAAGGGGAGGAGTCTCGTCCCCCTTACATCTCCAAGCTCAGTGGAGAAACAGCTCGAGCATGAGCATGACTGAAATAATTCACAAGAAGTCTGCTACTGGCTGCAGCACCTAAAAATTGTCGCAAAAGACATTTTTCGAATGAGTTCATTTTTAGAAACACCATTCCACAAATCTTACCTCTGGAAATCATCCAAGGAGTGAGATCAACATTACGACCCCCATAAATTGGGTAAATAACAACAGTGGAGTGAAAAACGACCACACGTGCCATAAGGCGATGTTGAAGCTGGAAGGAGGACAAAAAACACACAGTTGACGCCTCCTGCTGTCCCCCACGGACGCATTCTACTGCAGTCTAGAGTTAAAGAACCCACTTGTCACTCAGTTTGGGAAAGTTCATTTAGCCAGCAACTTTATGTATCATGTTTCTCAGGTATGTGATTTATCTGATATTCAAAAATATCACAATCTCTTCAAAATATACTTGGAACTTGGATCACTAAAGGCCTTCTAATGAGAGCTGCTCTGGTTTAATACAACTTAAGTCTCTAAAAGTTCATGTTTGAAATGGAACATGAGTTAAAATGGCTACAGCCTACTTTTGCAATCTCACATGCTATCAAACTATTATGGAAAAAAGATGGTGAAAATATCTTTCTGTTAGAATAAATAAAGGCATAATTTATAAGTTGCTATTAAATTTTTCACTGAGAGAGGCACCATTCCTGGTAAGACTAAACCACTTTCAAGTGCAAATGGTTTTTATGGGCTGAATTTGTAAGAGCATAAGTTAATTGGGGAAAACTACAGCCAATTAAATGTGTCAGATAGTTACTGATTTTTAATATATAATGTTTTGATAAACAGACCAAAAAATAACGTTTTTGGGCGTGATCTTAGCCTCCTAAAAAAATATAAAATAACACACTTGTCTACCCTACATGCCTATCAATGAACGGTTAATAATAACCACATCACAATGTAATATATATTAAACAGCTTTAAACTTCAACTACAGAAAATAAACTGTAAAAAAACATAGTTATACTGAGTCTGTACAAAAGTATATGGTTTTCCCAAAATCAAAATTCAGTTAATATAAATAAAGAAAAAAAGCCAATGGGCTATGCACAACACACAAAGAGTAGTTTTTCTCTCTGGTTGGCAGGCTGATGGGATATATTTCCTTTGGGTTGTTTCTGTAATGAACACATTTTCTTCAGTGAGCGAGTATACTTTAATACACATTAAAAAAAAAACACCAGTGTTTTTCCATTGAGTACCTATTAACTTACGAAGGTTAATGAAAGTTCCAAAGGTATTTTTGTAACAATGGGCCTCCTTGAGAAAAGCCTGCAGTACTGCCACAGGTGTGCCGTGGACCTTCGTCCCCAGAAGGTATACAGCATAAAAAGTGGTGACCATTCCCTCGGACAAGGTAGTTACCAGGTCTTTTCCTCAACTTTTTCTTTTGAAGTGATGTTAGAGTTACAGAAAAGTTGCAGAGAGAGTATAAACATGCCTGTTTACCCTTCCCCGAGCTTCCCCCAGCACCCTCTAATATCTTATATACCATGGTAACTGTCAAAACTAAGACATTAACATCAACATAAAACTATTAATTAAACTACACTTTATTCTAACTTTGCTACTTTTTCTACTAATGTCATGTTTTTCCCTGTACAGATCCTTTGGAAAACACTACACATGGGCTCTGAGTGGGTGCTAGGTCCCAGGCACTGGTGGAGTCCATGGTCACTCCTTTCACTGTGAAATAAGTACTCTGGTCGGAAGCTGTGTTGGGTGAAATGTCATGAGAATATAACGCTGGCAGAAGCATTATAGGTCAGAAAGGCACATACATCTTCCGAATACATGTCTTATCCAGGAGGAACACTGCTCCACTCCCTCCATGATGGAAGGAATCCAATATAAGCAAATGTCCACCAGGCCAGTCTCCCCTGGGAAAGGGGCCGTGTCAGCAGCTCCATGTTGGTCTCTGCTGTTGGCAGCTGTTCTGTGCAAGCATAGTGAACTAACCAACTTGGCAGTATATAACATGGATCCTGTGGGTCAGGATATGCAGAGGACATAGCAGGCATTCTTTTTCTCTCGTCTAAATGTCTAAGGCCTTAGCCAGAAGACAAGCATAGCCGGTGGTGACTCAATGGCCAAGGCTGGAATCATCTGAAGGTTCCTTCACTCACATTTGGTGCCTGGAATAGGAGAACCCAACGGCTGGGCTCAGCTGGGACTCTTGACCAGAGCACCTCCCAGTGACCACTTCATGCAGCTGGAACCTCGCAGTCTTGCATCCAGGCTTCTAGAGGGAGAGTCCCAGGGGGAACATCTGGAGAGCAAGCACCCTAAGAGAGCTCACAGAAGCTGTATGGCCTTTACAACCTGGCCTTCAAAGCCATATAGCATGATTTCTGGCATAATCTACTGGTGAAAGCAGTCATGAGCGTCCAGATTCAAGGGAAAGGGATAAGAATCTCCCTCTCAATGGGAAAAGTCAAAAGATTCAGGGCCCTCTTTTCAAATCATCAAAGCAGGTCCTACACTCAGCACTAGAGTTAACTCCAAGGTCATCCGTGGAGAGGGGACATCTGTGTTGTTGAGTGCACGCAAGCCCCCATCCCCGCCACCATGTTCCTAAGACAGGGCCCACTGAGCAGGCACTGGGGTGGCCAGGCAGAGGCTGCGAAACCCCCCATGGGACCACAGGTGTGGATGGAAAATAGACAATACAACAGGACTGGATCTCAAAAGAAACTAAACCACCTGCACATGCAGCTTCCTCATGGTTTCTAACTCTGCTCAAGTTCAAGTCTTATAGTCATTTCTACCCAACAGCATACTGCTGTGCAGGCCCAGCCTGGTGACCTGGTGGACTGGAAGACATCCAGTTCATGCCATAGTTGGCGTTCAGTTTCTACCAGAGCCCAGGAGCAAGCACGTTGTTTCTCAAGAGGGAAATAATCTGCAGAAGAGGGTATGAATTCGCTCTGAAATCCTTGCGGTCTGTGCTGACTCTTCTACCGGTTCGTGACAAAGCCTCCGCACAACATCGCTGTTTGCCACGGACACTTCAAGTGTCATTGGCTTGGCTGGACTGTAAGACCCAAGTGGCAGAGCAGCTTACACCACAGCCTGGAAATGCTTCGGACACTTCTCCCGCTCCAATACCCCCTCAAAACTGGCAGCATTGTGGGCTCCTCAGTCAATAGGTGAAAGTAACACACTTAAGTGTGGCATGTGTTGTCTCCAACATCTACAAGTTCCCAAAAGTATTGTGCCTCTTTTTTAATGGGAGGTCGGTACAGGGGGTGGCATCTTGTCTTTCACCTTGGAGCGGTAGCTTAACATGTTCCAGACCACTGAGCCTTATTTCTATAGTTAACTCAAAATGCTAACAGCTGAAACTATCCCCAAGTTTGTATTAACAAAACCCACAATAAAGTTAGAAAAATATTTTATTTAAATGTTAAGGAAAAAATTATACACACTTAAAATGATTAAAAGTTGGTATGTTAAACAAATGCTAAAAAGCCAATAATTTACACATACAATCTAGAGTGATGAGAAAACATAGTTTCAATTGGTCCCCTCTCCTAACAAACTATTTTAAAGAGATACACAGTAACTGCTGAAGTTGGGCTAAAGGCACGTGACATTGTCGTCCCTTTATACACACACCCAGTCATCTTACACAATGAACTGCTATCCCTTAAATGGAAGCCTGAACAATTTATCTACACTATCGGGAGTACATTATGCATCTATAATGAAACTTCATTCAAATTTTTACACCAATACTTTCTCTAATAACTCAAATTAACAATGCAAATTAATTATTTCTATTTCAAATAGAGTATTTGGTTTGAATCTGAAAAATTATTTAATCACTTGACCTTAATATGCAAATAAAATGTAATTTATTCTGATTTTAACCATACTAATTGTTATAATTTTTCCAAGGAACCCACCCAACTTCACAGATGCAAAAACACATTGCAGCTTTTCCATTATGTCTGCCTTGCTTTCAGCTATAGCTGGATGTTGGATCATTCGTTTTAAATTGACATGCCCTTAAATCTGAAAGAAAAACCAGCATTAATGTCCCAAGTGAGACATTCTATCTTAAGTTGTTAAATTTCGTATTAAAAAGCACAGTTCAATCTACATGCCTACAACATTATCTGGATCTACATTACTGATCATAAACTCACGTCAGCAGGAAGCCAAAAGCTCCCAAACACATGTAAAAACCCAAAGCTTAACACCTTTAGACTTTCCTTCAGAACTCCAAAGGAAGAGCGCGCAGTCTCCTAGCCGAAATGCCAGTTTTCCTTAGCACCCCAATCATTTACTTAGCATGTTAACTTTTACTCCGGTCCTGTTTTCACACCTATAAACTGATGAATGGAGATTTCCTCCAAGTTCTGATGGAAGCGACATAAGGGGAAGGAGTCTCTCTCTTTCATCCCATCCCTAAGCACACAGACTGAGTACTCTCAACACAAACTTTTTGCTAAGTGGGTTATCTGATACTCAGCAAACAGACCCCCCTGTGTAAGGAGCAGGCCCAAGGATGCAGTGGTCTGTGGAGAGGCAGAAATTCTAAAATTAACATGGAAGGAAAAGATTGATGTGTCCCCCATCAAATTTATATGGGGCAGCCAGAGCAGTTAAGAAATGGCAGAATTTTTTTGGCCCAACTGGGTAAAATTATCAGTATTTCCCTTATTCTCATTCCTTAAGCATGATCTAGCCAAGTCATTTGATGGAAATGGACTGCAATAGAAAATGGTCTCATGTGTGAACTGACCTATACCAGAAGGTACAAATACTATCTTCATGAGATCTTTGAAGAGTGGGGTACCTTCTCTAAGATGTAGCCACGGAGAACTAAACTGTACCCAAGGGGAGGAGTCTCGTCCCCCTTACATCTCCAAGCTCAGTGGAGAAACAGCTCGAGCATGAGCATGACTGAAATAATTCACAAGAAGTCTGCTACTGGCTGCAGCACCTAAAAATTGTCGCAAAAGACATTTTTCGAATGAGTTCATTTTTAGAAACACCATTCCACAAATCTTACCTCTGGAAATCATCCAAGGAGTGAGATCAACATTACGACCCCCATAAATTGGGTAAATAACAACAGTGGAGTGAAAAACGACCACACGTGCCATAAGGCGATGTTGAAGCTGGAAGGAGGACAAAAAACACACAGTTGACGCCTCCTGCTGTCCCCCACGGACGCATTCTACTGCAGTCTAGAGTTAAAGAACCCACTTGTCACTCAGTTTGGGAAAGTTCATTTAGCCAGCAACTTTATGTATCATGTTTCTCAGGTATGTGATTTATCTGATATTCAAAAATATCACAATCTCTTCAAAATATACTTGGAACTTGGATCACTAAAGGCCTTCTAATGAGAGCTGCTCTGGTTTAATACAACTTAAGTCTCTAAAAGTTCATGTTTGAAATGGAACATGAGTTAAAATGGCTACAGCCTACTTTTGCAATCTCACATGCTATCAAACTATTATGGAAAAAAGATGGTGAAAATATCTTTCTGTTAGAATAAATAAAGGCATAATTTATAAGTTGCTATTAAATTTTTCACTGAGAGAGGCACCATTCCTGGTAAGACTAAACCACTTTCAAGTGCAAATGGTTTTTATGGGCTGAATTTGTAAGAGCATAAGTTAATTGGGGAAAACTACAGCCAATTAAATGTGTCAGATAGTTACTGATTTTTAATATATAATGTTTTGATAAACAGACCAAAAAATAACGTTTTTGGGCGTGATCTTAGCCTCCTAAAAAAATATAAAATAACACACTTGTCTACCCTACATGCCTATCAATGAACGGTTAATAATAACCACATCACAATGTAATATATATTAAACAGCTTTAAACTTCAACTACAGAAAATAAACTGTAAAAAAACATAGTTATACTGAGTCTGTACAAAAGTATATGGTTTTCCCAAAATCAAAATTCAGTTAATATAAATAAAGAAAAAAAGCCAATGGGCTATGCACAACACACAAAGAGTAGTTTTTCTCTCTGGTTGGCAGGCTGATGGGATATATTTCCTTTGGGTTGTTTCTGTAATGAACACATTTTCTTCAGTGAGCGAGTATACTTTAATACACATTAAAAAAAAAACACCAGTGTTTTTCCATTGAGTACCTATTAACTTACGAAGGTTAATGAAAGTTCCAAAGGTATTTTTGTAACAAGAGAAGAATAAAAATTGTTAAGTCCAACAACAGGGAGCTGGTTAAATAAATCATGGAATTTCCATACAGTGATAACTATGTAACTATAAAAAAGAATGAGGCATGTCTACATGAACCAATGTGGGAGAATTCCAAGCTATATGGCTCCATTAAAAAAAAAAAGATGAACAATGACTCTGGCAAACAGCTGGCACTATTTACTGAGGCTGGAGGTATGTACACCCTATGAGCTAACAATTCCACTTCTAGAGGCATGTATATATATGTACATATATACACACATACCCAACAGGAACGTGTGCACAGGCTCACACAGGACACGTATAACAATGGTCTTCACAGCATCATTAATAAGAACACCAAACTGAAAACAATCCAAATGCTATCAACAGTAGAACAGATAAGTTGGGATTCAATGATAGGATGGAATGCAAACAGCGATGAACAGCTGTTATGCACAACAATATGGATGAATCACACATGTTGTACAGGAATAGCCGAATGGAAAAGAATACATATTGTATGAATCTACTTCCATAAAGTTAAAAAATGCAGACAAACCAGAGTATTAAAGAGGTGCAGAAGACAACAATAACCATAAAGTGGGGACGGTGTTTACCTATGAACAGGAAGGAAGGTATGGTGACTGGGCGGCGGCATGGAAGGGAGCAGGGGTGCTGGCATGGTTTTCTCCACCTGGGTGGGACTTACACCAAAGCTCATTTCATAATTCATTCAGCTGCACAATTAGGTTTTTTCCACTTTCTGTATGTATTATACTTCACAATGAAAATGACTTAAAAAACAAAATGTAGAACATATATAGCAGGTCACTCTTTGTGTTTTAAGTAACTAAATACATAAATTGAGAAAGATGCTGGCAAAAAGGGAATCAGAGACTAGGAATGACAGAGAGATTATTTTCCCATTATTCATTTTCTCTCTTTGGAATTTTGCACCACGTACACCAGTACTGGATCAGAACACGTCTTCTTCCTATTAGTCATTTCAAAGGTAACTTACCAAATTCCTGCTACAGTGAAAGTCGCAGTTGTGATGGGGATCAAAGCTGGGTACTTGACATCATAATCATTAATTCCCCGATACCACTCCAGGTAGAGAATGCAGTAAAATGCAACCGATAAGCTGATGAGGAGCAAGGCCCCGCCAAAGAGAAACCAGCTGTAGGGACAAGAGGGTACCAGGGTGGGCGGCACTTAGCGTGTCGGCAGGTGTCTTAAAAGGTTACACTGACAGTCCCCTAGAGTCCAGTTCTACAGAGAATATAAACCGGCAAAGGGGCAGACGACCCTCTGACTCAATCCCACTGTAGAAGGTCCTGACCTAACAGGAGAAAGGATGACACCGTGCCACGTGACAGGGCGAAAAGTAAGACTGGAAACACAGGTACGCCTGGACACTTCAATGAGCCACCAGCACAACTCTGCTTACAGCGATGCATTTTCCTAAAAAACACAGGAAAGACCGCAGCTTCCTGTTTGTTTTTGAGGTTCTGAGTGTGAGAGTAATCCACCATGAGCACCATGAGCACCTCCAAAGCAAGCAGGGTTTCTTGGAATATAGGAAACCAATTCGGAAGATGGTTAATTTGAAATGTCTCTTGTAAGAGATTTCTGGATGAAACCCTCCCATTTTTAGAATATCCCCAATCCTTCTTCTAGGGGCAATGTCTTTTTCCTCACTTCAATTCTATGCAAGATCTGACCCAGTGAGTATGAGGCAACCTGGTCAGCCCCTCCCTTCCCCGCCCTGCTGGTCACGGAAGGAGGCTGCATTTGGGGAATGGAGTCCCTTTCCCAGTATCCCGACTCAACCCCAAACCCTGCTATCTTTTGCTTTTCCACAGGGAGGAGACTGGAGTTCCACGCGGAGGACAGAGGGGTAACAGGCGGCTGGAGCGGCTGAATCACACAGGCAGCGTGGCCTTCCAACAGCGGGGTTTCAGAGTCCTTAAGGCATTTCATGACGCTGCGGTCCTGGGGGTCCAGACTACGAGAGGCGGTACAGCAGGTGCAGGAGCACAGCCTCAAGCCTGTCTGTCGGGGTCTGAAACGCGGCTCCCACCTGACCAGCTTCGTGATTCTGGGCCAGTGACTTCAGCGGGCTCCGGAAATATTGGCCCAGCTTACTCAAGAATAGCTGTGAGACTCATATAGTTTAGAAAAGTCTTTCTCACACAACTAACCCTCAATAGCATTATGTCCACTGCTAGTATTTCCACATTCTTCCTTATGGGTCTCCAAAGACCTCGCTTCTGCTAGAGTGTACATTCTCAACAGGGGCGATATCACCCCCAAAGTGAACAAAAAGTCTTACTCTTTTTGTTTGCATGAAGCATAAATATTCACGCAGAACGTAAAGGAGCGATTAGGAAAAAAATGTCTAATAAAGAGTCTTCAGGAGCTGATAATACAGAGGGACTGAGGGGAAGACCAAGGAAAGAAAAACAAAGAGGGACTAAGGAACTCTGTGCTTGAGTTGTGGCGCTCTCACTTTATCACACTCTGTCCTATTTGCTGCAGTTTTTAACTTCACACGGAAGCCTAGTGCAGTCACTGTGTCCAGATACGGATATGGCAAAGTATATAAACAAGTGAAAAAATTCCTGAACAAAATGAAACACTGCAAGTGGTCCTCAACCCTGCCTAAGTATAAGTCACCTTTGCAACTTTCTAAAAAAAGAAGCTAACTTGTCCCATTTTCCAAAATTCTGGGATGTAATTTTGTTCTATGCCATCTTTTTATGGGGGAGCACCAACCTGGGCAGGTCTCTAGGTTTTCATTTCACCTGGGGACCTGGTGGGTAAGTCTGTTCCTGGGTTTCAGTATTAGGAAGCACTTTGTCACACAACAGCAATGTGCACCTGGGCATTCCAGACATCTTACATGTGAAATTAATTATTCCTTACCTCACAATTTCCTTAAACTACTCAGAATACTTCATACAGAATACAAATACATCAACCCTCTTACCTCTCCTAAAACCTCAAAGGTCCGCCTCCTAAGGTTGGGTGGGATCAGGTGCCCCTTCTAGGTGCTCCCACAGCACCCTGCACATACCACATGATCTATTCGTCCATCTGTCACCGCCTAGTATGAGCTGCTGGAAGGCTAGAAATGTGCCTTATTCATCACTGTCACCACGGCCGAAACATCTCAAGCTCTCATGAAACATTTAATGAATGAAGGGGCAATTGCTATGGGTGATGTGTGAGGCAACCATCCCCTTTTCCCAGGCCAAGTTCTAAACCATCTGAGAACAAAGGCATTAGGCTAATGAAGATCACCTGTCAGCTTTTTTACTGTCAGCTTTTTTACTGACAAACTGGGAAGAAGGCTTTGGTGAACAGTGACAAAGTGCTTCCTAATACTGAAACCCAGAAACGGACTTACCCACCAGGTCCCCAGGTGAAATGAAAACCTAGAGACCTGCCCAGGTTGGTGCCTCCCCGATAAAAAGATGGCATAGAACAGCAGGCCAGAACCTGGGCCTCCCACGGGCAGCTGGCTCCCAAGAGAAAGAAAGTACTTAGCCACACAGGCCGACTTCTCTGTTCTGACATCAATCAGGCAGTCCCACCACCTCCCAGGGAAGGGGCAAGGGAGGGGAGGGGCAGGAAGAGTGTTCAAGTAAAGTCCCACTCTGGAAATAAGGGGAGAAAGGAACATGCTTTCTCCCAAAGTCTAAGCACACGTCCCAAGGCCTCCTTTCCCGACTCCCTGCTCCCTCTCTCTCCCCACCAGCAGTCAGCACTCTTCCTGACAGCCTCAGGAGAAGCTGTGTGTCCTCCACCCCACCCGACAATAACGCAGGGTCACACAGCCCAGTCTGCACCTCCCAGCCCTGCAGGTGCTTCCAAACAATCACGCTCGCACCCCACGCCAACCACCCCTCCTGATGCCAGCTCACCAACCTCTCTCCCTCCGCAGCTTTCTGGGGGCCTCCAGAACTCTCCCATATTCAGTGAGGCCTCTGATGCACGACCTTCTCCTCCGTGTCAGCTCCTGAGATTATACTGAAGAGACCTCAATCCTCAGGAGTGGACTATTCGACATCCTGCCTCAAAGCTCCTGGCCCCACCCTCAAGAGACCTCAACTCCAATTCAATCACAGCCTGCAGGTACTGGCTGGGTTTAACTACTCTCTGGAAACAGACTCTGAGACCAGGTTCTGCCACGGTTCTCATTCCCTCCTTCCAGTACTTCTGCACTGGATCTTAATAAGGACCTCTGGTCTGTCTTTCACCATGGTTTATAAATAGCTACGTCCTTCTTATATTCACTGCCATCCCCATCCTAAGACAGTTATGCTGAAAAAGCATACTGAAGTCCTTTCCCGTCTCAGCCGCTCTGCTGTACACGCCCAGAGCACCCACTGTCTTACGCCTCTTGGGATCTCCAGTACCTCCCTGTGGTGCCTGGCAGGAAGTGCTTACTAAGCATTCAAAGAATGCAACTTACAAAATACAACAGAAAACATAAGGCAAGGGTGTTTAACTAGTAAAACAGTGAAGTTTTCTTACCTACTAGCATGAAAGTTTTCTCTGACAGTTTTAAAGAAATCAACATAATAGGTCACAACAATGGATGCCAAAATCCAGAATCCAGAATGGATATTAAGTCTTGGAAGAGGTTTCTCCTTTTTCTCAACAGCTGTAGAAGCTTCTGCAAATAAAGGAGATTTCAATGTACAAGTTACCATAAATTTATGAGGAAAAATTAAGCCTATTTTAAATGATATAATTTTCTAAAGCTTTCTAAGAACCAGACTCTCTCCCATTCAAGTGCCAATTTCTTCTGTAAAATCATCAAAATAAGGTTACACTTGTACAAATAATAGGAACCTTTTATAAACATGTTCAATACAATCAGCTTTTTTCCTCCAAACCAATTTTGAAATCAAATTTACTTATTCATGGCCTTTCAGAAAGAATGATGCCACGTGGTAACATTAGAATGTTAATATCGTGTTTCATATATCATATAGGAAAGCAATTAGTTCTGTTAAGAAAAATGCAAATATCAAATGTCAAAACACAGACTGGACTTGTGATTTTCCAAAAATACTACTTGTAACTAAGTATTTTCATTTTTTTAAACAAACACAGCCTTTTATGGCAGCTCAAAAGTGGAAGGACACACTGGAGGTCTAGTCTTAGCACAGAACTGTCTAGACAGGTGATGGACGACATCACATTTGTTCCCTCTGGGATCCGATCTGAAAGAATATGCGGCTGGAGTTGGGTGACATGCTCGCTCTCAGTTCAAGTGAGAAGCAGTAGTATACGCCAGAGGTTCTCCACCTTTAGTTGACCATCAGAATTTCTAGGAAGCTTGTTCACAATTCATATTCTGGGAGATATCCTCAAAATTTACAAGCCAGCATGCTGAGACATGACACCTTCTGTGTTTATTTTTAAAAGGTAATGTTTACAACACACAAGACAAAAAGATCAAGATCTAAAATGAAATCTCTTCAGGTCCCCTGCCTAGAAACAATCACCAGTATCAACTTCTACTGAATTCTTCTATACTCTATGCATCTACAGAAAAACACACACCACACGTTGTTTTGTACCCGAATGGTGGCACACCATACGTTGTTCTGAGCCTCCCTCTGAAAATCATCCACATTGGTAAATAAAGGTCTGCCTGGTGTGGCATGTATAGACAGATACATCCAAACGTATTTAACCGGCTCTCTGCTGACCGGCAAGTATGTCTCTAAACGTTCGCTGCTACAAGAAACGCTGAGGTGAAACGCTTTGCACACACGTCCTCGTCTACTGGTACGGCTGTGTCCCTTTGGTGGATTCTTAGAAACAGAACCAGTGGGCATTTTTAATTTTAATGTGTATTACCCAGTAGGTGTTAAACCAGCTCTCCTGGGACTCCTGAAGCGCAGCTAAGATCAAGAAGCTACGTGAATTTCTAAGCACCTGTTATAACACTAAATACCCGCCTTGCAAAACTACTTGGTAATCAGCCTTCAAAAACAAAACCCGGTCCCGCCGACTGTGCAGGGACGCCCGCGGGGCCGCCGTTCCCGGGAGCCTCGATTCCAGGAACCTCGGGGCGGCTCGGAGCGCGGCTGGGGAAGCGCCTCACCCAGCCCGGCGTGGCCCTCGCGACCCAGCGCAGCCTCGGCTTGCGGCGAGAACAAGTATCGCCGCCGGAGCTGTTCCCGGGCCCGAGAAGCGTCCATCTTGGCACCGCCCAGGAACGCCGCGGAAGTGACGTCAGGTTCGCCGGAACTTCCGGAATCAGCGCCTGTGTTACCACGTAACGTTGGAGACTCGTACTGTCTTGGGGGTTTTGGTTGGTGAGAATCCAGTACTGGGTTGGCTTTGCAATCTTCGCGCTCAAGTCCGCAACCGTGATTTAAATTTCAAAATACCGATTGTGGGTAAAATTGTAATGTTCCCAGAATATCTCGCCAGGCTTTAGTACTTTTGTATATCCTCAGGGGTGGAGAGTTCATCTCCGTATCAATGGGTAATTACCTGGGCAACCGAGGGCGTGTCTGAACCTGAGATGTTACCTGGAGGGGCTTCTTGCTTGCTTCTTCCAGAGCAAGGAAGAGAGACGGCCCTGGACTACAGTTCATATGCAATAGATGGGTTTTAAACTATTTCTCCCTTTGACTGATTTTGGTTTTTAGAGGTGTTTTGTCCCGGGATTTCCTCTCCGCGGACTTACATCTGGCTTAGTCGGCAGGATGCTGGTTTATTTACTCTAGAGTCCCCAGGGCCATCAGAGCCCTCTTGTAGGACCAGGAGACTATTTACACAGCAGGGAGGTAAAGAACCAGAGACCAGGTCCTGAACCCCTCCCTGCCCAGAATGAGAAGTGAAGGGGTGTCCTGGGTCCAGCTGCTTACGTCTTGGGGTTCAGATGGAAGCTTCATACTCCCGTGTATCCCCAGCTTCATACAATGGATTGCTGAAGTCTGACTCCACCGAGATGGGGCTGTAGAAATGGGAGCCCGAGAAGCCGAAGAGGGATTTTCCCTGCAGCTTACTGTAGTATATGTAAACGCCACAGCCAAGGACAATGACCAAGCCAAGGGGCAGAGCAGGATGGCCAAGGCGAGGTGCCCACCCTCCTGCTGCCATGCTGTTGTCTGGGTCACTTCCAGTTTTCCATTGTCCAGGAGCTCCTCATAGGCCACTTTGCGGAGTGGGGGCCACTATGAGGGGTGGCCAGGCACATAGGTGATGGTGACCTCGCTGATGAGCCCAAAGCCCTCAAAGCAGAAGAAGCGCAGAGACTCACCTGCCTGGTAGTGATTGTTGTACAACGTCTGATAGCCATTCTCTGGGACCCTAGGGTTCAGGCACGGCTCATACTTCAGGGTGCATTGGGGACCCGGTCACTCCATTTGGGGATGCCTGTGTCCCGGCTGTAGCAGGTGAGCACAGCCACCCCTTCCAGGCTGTACCCTGGCAGACAGCGGTGCTGGATATGGGAGCCAACAGGGAAACCAGCATCTGTGATGGTTTGGTGCCCGTTGGGAATTTCACCAGGATCAGCACAAATTATGACTTTTTGGCAGGCAGGTGGTGCAGAGTTTCAGAACAGGTCCCACTGGCAGGTGAGAATGTTGAAGCCAAGCAGCTCGTAGCCAGGCTCACTCTGGTAAGTAAGCACCGTGCCTTGGATCAGGTTCCCAGGGAAGCTGTCCTCCAGCCCCACTCTGGAGGTGGCAGCTCTGGGCACGTGTCATTCCTTGGGATCTCTTTGAAGTGCCACATGAAACCCTGGCCCAGGCCCGGGTTCCGGGGCCCAGGTGGTGCCTGGAATTGAAGCGTGAGTTTGGGCCCAGAGGAAAGAAGGAGGTGGCACGGTTGAGGTCCCTGCAGCTGAGCCAGGACTCGGGTGCTGGGTCCATCCCATCAAACAGGGTCAGCATGTCTTCCTCATGCACATTCAAGATCTCAACCTGGAGCAAGATGCGCTTCTCTTCCTGGACATGCAGGCCCCACATGCAGTTCTGGCCAGGGCTGTAGCTCTGGGGCCAGTCGGTAAAGAGGACTACATCATCTGGCTCTGACAGCTCCCCTCCGCACATGGCCTTGCAGGCTGGCTCTGTGTCGTTGCAGCGGGGTTCTGTGGGATCCACACATTCAATGGCATTTGGGGGGCCAGGGGGCTCCAGGGCATATCCTGGGAGGCAAGAGAAGGTAGCCAGTGCCCCTGGGCAGTGCTCGGTCTGTGGTGGTGGCATTGCCATGTGCCAGGAAAGGGGCAAAGCAGCGATCTTCTTCAAAGGCTTCAAATCGGAGGCTTAGCGCAGGATTGGCAGTATCTCTGAAAGCAGCTCCATGTAGAGGGACTGGGCATCGCTGATGAGACCTCGCTCTGGGACATCATCCATGTCTGAGTCATAGATCACAGGGGATAGGGGACTGCCCCGAGTGTACCATCAGTTGATCGTTGTCCTCACCAGCGAGACCCTCTCAAAGTGCAGATGCAGCCAGCTTCCCTCGGCTGCTTCAGTGACCCAATGGCAGGTGAGGTTGGGTCCCTCAGCTCCCCTGGGCTCAGGCAACACGATGCAGCCCAGGGTAGCATTGCGGATGGTGCCACCACAGAATGCTATACAGCTAGGGGGTTCACCACTCCAGGCTGGTGGGTGCCATTGAGGCAGATGAGGGTCTTCTCACCCTGCAGCTGGTAGCCCGAATCACAGTGGAAGGTAGCAGTGCCCGCAGAGTGCATGTCTGTCACAGTCACATCCCATGGGCTGGCCAGGAAGGGAAGCCACAGCTCAGAAGGTAGGCCTGATAGTGGATCCTGAAGCCACCGCCTCTTGGGAGCTGTGGGCTCTGGAAGTGCAGGAGCAGCCAGTTGGTTGGATTCCGAAAGACCTGTCCTCCCAGCATGGAGGAGTTGACCAGGAGTCGGGGGGCCAGGCCTGGGGATCCCCCACCACCAGCCAGTATCAGGAGTTCCTCCTCCTGAGACAGGTTTAGTCTCTGCACCTGGATCTCAGTGCCAGAGCCAAGGTAGACACAGACGCTGTACATGCAGTCCAGGAGCCCCAGGGTGCGGCTGGGATCCTCCCTAAATCTGGAGACTCCACATGCCCTTCACCCTTGGAGATGTTGTTATTACACAGAACTGGGCTGGTCACTGCGGTGGTGATAGTTGTCGTGGTTATGATAGTGGTCATGGTCTCCTCTCCTCCCTCAGATGCCAGGTGTGGGCCTGGGCAGGTGGGGCCTGCCCTTGACATTTGAAGAGGTCAGCAGAGGCCGAAGAAGTGCCTTATGTGCTCTAAGCGGGACTTACACTGAGTCCTACAGCAACATGGGACAATAATAAGGGGGCCAATACCCCTTGTCAGGTGGCAAATAGACTATATTCGGCCTCTGCCCAAATCAGAAGGATATCTGTATGCCGTGACATGTGCAGACATGGCTATTTGACTATTGGTTGCTTTTCCTGCACGTCGTGCAGATCAGCAAACCACCAAGAGGGGCCTGGAGCATCTCTGTGCAGCCTATGGCTGCCCGCAGATGACTGAGCAATCAAGGCACCCACTTTACTGGACATGCATTACAACAATGGGTGCAGCAGTTAGGAATAAGGTGGAAATTTCATGTACCATATAATCCTACTGGGGCAGGCATGATAGAGAGGTACAGCGGTTTGTTGAAATCTGGCCTGAAGTCGGACACCAATAGTCTACGGGGTTGGTCAGTTTGCCTGTGGACAGTGCTGTCGCGTTTGAATGAGAAGCCACGTAAAGGACTTTGAGCCCTGTGGATGTGCTCACACATCTTGCTGCATCTCCTATACAATTGTATATGCAAACCAAAGAAGTGTTATTACGGCCAGGATATGGCCAGCAGAGCAACATCCTGGTGTACTAGGCCAGGACGAGATCCCATTCCTGCCACTGTCCTATCACAGGACCCCTCTCCTGCATGTATCCTACCTGATGGACAAGATTTACCTATGCTGGTGTCATTAAAACACGAATCTTATCGCTCTTAAGGTTATTTTCTCCTACAGTCCTTGTGTCCTGGATGTGCCCCCCTGGCTGCAGCTGCTGTGTGATGGCTGGAATGGATGAGCTTTGGACTTAATCTGCATGGGACTTTGAACCTAGCTGAATCCTCTGGCTTGAGAATTACCTTGATTGTGTTGCTGCTGTCAAGAAAAAAAATGCTTAAAGAGAAGCTTGACTTTGTCTAATGTTTGGTAAAAGTTTTGTGCGTAATCTAGCATGGTTGTTAGGAATGAGTGAACAAGTGCAGAAACATATTTTGTGCTTAGTGAGAGATTGTGCTGTAAAGTACATTTACTTAATCTGCATAGGCTGAATCCTCTGGCTTGAGGATTATCATGATTTTATTGCTGTTGCTATTGTTATGTCATAGTCTGATCACAATGCTCCAGTTTTCTTGCCCAGGGACCATAGCGGAAGAAAGGGAATGAGTAGATTTTAAGGCAAGATTTCTGAAGGGGTGGCCTGTGGGTGAAATTGTAATATTTCCAGAATATCTCACCTGGCTTTAGTGCATTTGCGTATCCTCAGGGGTGGAGAGAAGTTCATTTCCATGTCAGTGGGTAATTACCTGGGCAACTGAGGGCATATCTGAACCTGAGAGGTTAAGGGGAGGGGTTTCTTGCTTGCTTCTTCTGGAGCAGGGTAGAGAGCCGGCCCTGGACCGTGGTTTATAAGCAATAGATGGATTTTAAACTTTATTTCTCGCTTTGACTGATTTTGGTTTTTAGAGGTATTTTGTCCCGGGATTTCCTCTCCCTGGACTTACACCGATTCTCCCCTGGCTGGAGATACCCCAAGTTTATGCCCACCTAAAGAAGCCTGGAAGGACCAAGCTCACGCTGCTGGCACATATGTGCCGGATGGCATTCGCAGCCATGCGGCGCTGCTCTGCGTTTCCGTGCTCCGCCTCTGGAGCCTTGCCTTGCTCCCCTTTGCCCAGAGCATCTCAGACCCCTGCTTTGATTATACTCCTCTTCAGGAGTCACCCTGCTGGACTCGAGAGGGTCAAAGACCAGCCCAAGAGGTGGAAAGGATGGCAGGGTCAGACCCGGATGCCTGCTGTTGGGTTTGGGGAAGAAATAAACCTCTCTGGGCCTGTTTCCTCTTCTGCCTCGTTGGTTTGTTGAGGGGTTGAAATGAGAAGCACCTTATGTGGTTCATCTTGACCCCCTTTTGACAACATTCCCCAGGTGGGAACGTAGAACCTAAATTTCTAC